TTTTTTTTTAGGAAAAATAATATTTCATTATTAATATTAAAATACATGTATATTATATAAAATATTACCTTGTACAAACGTACTAATGATTGATCTGGGGGGCAGCTTAAAGGTTCAAAAATTTTATCATATATATCATTATCACTTATATAAATATCTTTAGAAGATGCTAGTATACATTTTCCAACTTTATTTGCATCATCATCATCATCATCATCATCATCTTTTTCCTTTTTCATGCCACTATCATTTTTCTTTATTGCTAACAAAACCTTACGTTTTTTCAAATTATTTAATACATTGTTATTCTTTTGAACCGAAGAAAATTTGTGATCGATTTTGTGTAGTATAGCAGTATACTTGTCAATACCCTGGCTTTTCAAAACTTCATGTGAAGATTCAATTAAAAGTTCAGCCAAATCAATTGGAGATGGTTCATCTTTGACACCACAATCCCGCAAAAATTTATTTGCTTTTTCACCAAAATTAATATAATCAAAATAGTCAGCAAAATCTTCATCAGAACATTTAAAAAAACAGTTTGACGGTTTAACATATTTCAATTGAGCGGACTTTTTATCACGAATTGGAATAAAATATGTTCGGTTTAAATTGCCCCAATCTGAATATATAAAGTGAAATGAAGATAAATAACCAAAAATTGATTTTGCTTTTTCTTCATCTGGTGGTTCGTTCTTTAGTTTTTCTAGTATCTGCAGCCGATCTGGATCTTTCTTTACACCAAGATCTTCAGCTCTACTTACCAAGTCTCTATGTAATACATTAAATTTCATAAACCTACACTCCGTGTTTGTGTAACATTCCGATGGTTTTGCGTAAACGTTTAGATCAGTACATGGGAGAAACGCAATATTTATTTTTTTTGCATCATAGTGTTTAGAATATTTTGTTTTAAGATTTTCAAGAAAGTAATTTAGAGCCTTTTGGCGAATTGAAAGCTCTGTGATAGGTGACGCCAGCTGAAGTATTTTACCAAGTGGAGGATATTCACATAAGCCGAGCTTTAACATAATTTTAGCTAAAGATAACATTATATTAGTTTTAATAATAAATAAATAATAGCTCAAAAAGAACAATTCAACATTATTTAGATAAATGGAACTTGGAAGCAAAATTAATTCCACTTAAATCATTTGACTTTAATTTTGAAAAATACACCGTTGATATTCCAATGGAAACTGTAGTAGAAGATGAAATAGGAGGAAAAGACCATATTAGGTCATTGCAAAGTATATTTTTAATTGAAATCAATAATAAAAAACAGTCAAAAAACAATAAAAAATGATAAATATATGATTTGTTTATTTTCTTCTTACTTTATTTCTTAATTACTCAACCAATCAGTTAAACATTTTACTATAAGCTTTCTTTTGAGCATTTGTTCTAGCAACGATTTTTTGTTTAGCTATTTGTAATTCTTTTAGAATTGCTGAATCTTTTGGATTTAATTTATTAGCTTCTTTTAAATCCTCTAAAGCTGCTTCCTCATCTTTCAAGCCGTTATATGCTGTGCCACGTCTATATAACGCCTTAACTTTATCAGTTGTTGATAAGTATTCGGATGGCATTTCTAACACTATATTAACATCATTTATTACATTTTGATAATGTTGTAAATTCAATGAACATGCTGCTTTATTTAAGTAACATGAAATTTTTAGTGAATGAAACTCTTTTTTTAGTTCAGGTGGGTCGTCTGTATCATCTAATATTTTCTCATTAAGATAGCGAATTGCCTAAAATAATAATATTTAAAAAGTAAGAAAATAAAAAAATAAAACAATTAAATAATAATTTATATAATTTATACTTTTTTTTTTTACCTTTGTGTATTTTTTAATTGCACTTTCATATTCTGACTTTTTATAATAAGAATTTCCAATTTCTTTTATATTTTTAGCAATTTCAAGTAGATCCTTTGGTTCTTTGGATTCAGAATAATCAACTATAGTAATAATTATTTTTTTTATAACAAAAACATTAGTCATTTAATATACTTTCATATACAATATATACATGCATATACATATGTACTCATTTATTTTTATTTACCTGGCCAATCTTCATAAATATCACCATCAACAGGTTCTTGTATGCCATCATCCTCGCCTTCTTTTAGTTCGCCACAATCAACAATTTTAACAATTTTTGTTGGTTTATCATCTGATACTGGAATATTTTCAATAGCTCTAACAACTGACTTTCCTTTTAAAACCTTGCCAAAAACTACATGCTTATCATCTAAATGTGGAGTATTCTTTTAAAACAAGTTTATTATTAAAAAGGTTACTTATATGTATGTGCGTAGATCTGCTTTGTTTTTAGAATGAATGATATTTAATTAAAATATCAAATTACCACTGTGGTGATAAAAAACTGAGAGCCATTAGTGTTAACGCCAGCATTTGCCATTGATAAAAGGAATGGTTGATCATGTTTTAATTTAAAATTTTCATCTGTTTTAAAATTTTTTTTTAAAAAAAAATTGGTAAGTATCACCCACTCATTATTCACTAGTGAATATATATATATATTGAATTTACTTTACCTTCAAATTTTTCTCCATAAATACTTTCACCACCTCTACCATCACCTAATGTAAAATCACCACCTTGAACCATAAATTCCTATCACAAATTATTAATTAACATAACTTTCACATTCTCCCTATAAGAAAGCATTTATCCTCATCATTATTATTTATTACCTTGATCACACGATGAAATATACATCCTTTATAGTGTAATGGAACTCCAGAAGCGCCAGTACCTTTTTCGCCTATTAATTAAAACCATCGATCGTTAATATGTATGGAATTTTATTGGATGAATTTTTCATTATTTTATTATTTTTTACCTGTGCAAAGCGCACGGAAATTTTCCGCAGTTTTTGGTACTATATCATCAAACTAATAAAAAATAGGTTTTTTATTTTATACACACACACACACACACACATGTACATATATTCATTGATTTTTACCAGTTCAAAAACTATTCGACCTTCACGTTGACCATCAATTTCAATATCAAAATAGGTACGAACAGGCATTTTTATTGGAAAAGAAATGATAGATGGATTATTTTTTTTAAAATAAAAATTTTTAATCGATTGATTAAATAGATTTTTGATGAAAATTTTTCAAGAATTTACTAGAAGTTTTCAATAAATTTATCCATCATGGACCGTTTCCGATCCGATTCGATCAAATCAAAACAAACCCAACAACCTATTATATCCAAGCCAATCAAATTGATACACTTGTCCAATCAAAATGATTCATACATACGATTGGGAGATTGAATATAATAATTAAATCTTTACGCTTTTTAATTAAAATTTCCTTTTTATCTTTCTTTATTCAACCTATAATTAATAATAATAATTAAAGTTATAATAACAAAAAATAAACAATAAATATACACACACATAAAAAGAAAACAACTATTATATTATATTCATTTTACATATATTATTCATTTCTCATCTTTTATTTCATCTTTTATTTCATTTTAGTTTCTTCACGTCGCAACTCATTTGAGTCAACTGCTTCGACTGAAACAGCATCATCACAAAATTCTCCAATATCAACAACTCCACCTACACCTAGTGAATTTGATAATAACCATCACGCAGCTGATATTCGTACGGCTGTTAATATACTTACTTCTGTTCATTCATCAAAACTTCACAAGGGAAATAATAGTAATAATAACAATGACTCAACTTCTACCAGTTCTTCTGGAAACTCTCTTATTAATAATCATCATAAAGTAACTAAAAGAACATCTTCTAAACCGCCTCGTCAATTGCAATGCTTTAACTGTGGTATTAAGAATACTCCTCTTTGGCGGAGGACTCCAGATAGAATGCATTCGCTTTGTAATGCTTGTGGTTTATATTATAAACAATATCATGTTCACAGGCCGCTTCACATCATACACAAGACAAGAACTTCATCATCTAAATCATATCCATACATTTTACCAGCAATGAAAGGTGAGGATGATGACACTGATGCCATGATGGATGATATGTCAGATATGTCATCTGAACATCTTGGCCATGAATCAAATTATGATGATTATGGTTTGGACAGAAATTGTGTTGAATCTCCGATATACAGTGGCGCTAACTCGATTGAAACCCAAAACACCACCCCCATTTTATCACCTACTTTACCGCCATTAATATCATCACCATCTTTATCATTGTACGCTCCATTATCTTCAATACCTCCAATACCACAATTGCCAAATACATCATTCACACCATCTCCATCATCTCCACTATTATTATTGCCAACGTCATCATCATTTGAAACACCACCATCAATATCCTCAATATTAAATACTACAAGGATATTACAAGAAGCTTCATCTCCTACAAAAACCCCCAACTCACCAACCTTAGCTCCAACATCTAATACTAATACTAATACTACTAATACTGGTAATAGCAATAATAATAGTAATAATAAATCTAACAATACTGACAATAATAATAATAGCAATAATAAATCTAATAATACTGACAATAATAATAATAGTAATAATAATAATAATAATGATAAATCTAATAATACTGAAAATAACAGCAGTAGTAACAGCAACAGCAACAGTAACAATAATGCCACCACCACCTCCAATACTACTGCACCTCTTTCTTCATCTATATTATTAGCAAGTGATATGCAAATACAATGTGCGAATTGTGGTCAAACCCAAACACCACTTTGGCGAAAAAATGACAAGGGACAACCACTTTGTAATGCATGTGGATTGTATGCAAAATTACATAATAGAGACAGACCTATTGCTATGAGAAAAGCAAAGATTCAACGTAGACGTAGAGACTGGAATAAATATAATCAGTTGGATGAAGGTTCGACTGAAGAAATTGAATCACCCCCTGCATCTTCATCTTCCCCAAGAACTGCTTCAACTCCACCATCATCATCTACACCAATCACATCATCATCTTCATCTTCTAACATTACTGCCACTACTACATCATCACCATCAACTATGCCGTATCATCATCCTTATTTAAGACCGTTGGTGAAAAAAGTTTCACCGTCACCAGATATTGCTGCACAGGCTCTTTTGATTTTAGCGACTGCTGCTGCAAGTGAGCGTGAACAACAATTGATCCAAAAAGAGAAGGAAAAAGAGAGTGATGGTAATGATAGTAGTAGTAATAATGATGATAATAATAATAATAGCAGTAATAATAGCAGTAATAATGATGTTAATAA